CCGCGGCTGGCTGCGAGGCCATCGCGGGCGAGGGTTCTAGTTGTGTGGGATGGGTTTAGCAGTGTTAGTGTTGATATGGCGGACCCAGCGCAGCACTAACAGTGGGTGCTGGTGGATTGGTATGTAGGAGGGAGTTTTTGACCAGGCGGGTTGAGGACAGTCAAACCTGGCGTTCACGCGTTCCCGTTGAAACGACGCAAGCCCACACGCAGGAGCTTCATACAGCGCGTATTTGAATCCATGAAGAGTTCCATGAGTGCAAGTCACATATGACGGCGGGAATACGGTAACAACTTTGACAAGATAGTTAACCGTCGTTGTATACTTCTCCCCATCCGCTCGTGGTGGAAGCGTTCGGTCCCCACCTCGGTCCTCAAGCCTGGGCAACTATCTAACGGCGCTTGAGGATCTCCTGCAGGCTATTAAGACCTTTGACTTCCTTTCTCTGACCGCCCTTGTCATTAAGAAACTCTGAGGTCTGTATGCTGAGGGTAACAAGATCCTCTGTTGCAAGATTGCCGGCCCTCATCACATCCAGGGGCTGGAGTGTATCGCTTACTTCTTAAAAATCAAGACGAGCTGAATATATTGGCAGGTATTTTCTTGTATTCATCTGGACATGACTAGCTAAGTACGACCATACGAACGACTAAGGCTGTTGCTTATGCTTTTCAGGAGAGGGGAGGCTGGCTGACATAGAGTAGTATTATCTGCATTAGGCTAAGGTGACCACGATCTTCTTCGCCGACAGACCCCCTTCTCTACATACTTCGAACGCTTTCTGCAGGCTTTCCAGCCCCTCGCCAACGACGTACGGCTCGGAGACGCAGGCGAATGACCCGGCAGCCAAGGCCTTGCCGAGGAAATCCGATTATACGGCGCGGTCCACCTCGTTGTCACGCAGGGGGCCCGGCACGATGGCCAGCCCGCCGGCGCAGTCCTTTCCAGCAAGGGCGCCAACGAGCTGCTCGAAGACGTCCGCGGCGTGGTAGTCGAACACGCTGGCAGCCCCCAGCGTTTCCAGGAGGCCGAAGTTCTTGGGCGACGCCACGGTGACGACCTCGTAGCCGGAAGCGACGGCTAGCTGGACGGCGCAGCATCCGACACTCGACACGCCGCCCCAGACGAGGACGGTCTTGTCGGTGCTGGGCTGGGCGGGGACGGTGGGGAGCTCGAGGGCCAGCTGGTCCTTCTGGTACAGGGCGCACGAGGCGGTCGACAACGCCAGCGGGAGCACGCATGCCTGCTCGTAGGAGACGCGGTCGGGGATGGGGGCGGCCATGAAGTGCGATACGATGGTATACAGCTGGAAGGCCCCCTCGGAGGGCTTGTTGTTGGTGATGTTGATGGCGTGGGCCACGACGCGGTCCCCGGGCTTGAACGCTTCGACGCCGGGCCCCACCTCGACGACCTCGCCGACAATGTCGTTTCCGAAGATCTGCGGGTACGTCACCCAGGGGAACAGATCTGGTCTGAGGGTCTGCAGGGCTGGCTCGACATAGTTCACGGCTACGGCCCGGTTCCGGATCAGGATCTCGGACGCGGCGGGGTGGGTGTAAGCGGCCTCTTTGACCTCCAAGCAGGGTGCCTTGGCGGCTATCTGCCAGGCGGCGTGGTTCTGGGGGGCCTGGGGGGCCATTCTGAGTCGAGGAGGCGTCAGGTCTGATTTCAAGATGGTAGAAGCGGTGTTAGTGATGTAATGGGAGAAGCTGTTTCGAGATGAATGCATGTTCTTTTAAGCCGGAAACAACGGAGATAGCGGCGATGTGAGTTGCCTCATATCGTATTCCACGTCGCAGAAAGTTGCCGAAAAACCAGTCTTTAATGGGGCCATGGCAATCGGGTACCACACGAAACCGTCGTTAGGGGTCATGATGCGTGTGTTAATCGTGGGTGTAAAAGATGGTGTGAATTGTTCCAATGGCATTGGTTGGCACGCCAATTCGGAGAAGCACCGCGTCTTTCTCCGTTCAACTCTTACGCCCGAGTCGTGAAGCCCCTCTTCCCGGCCCCTAAGGCTGTCCCTAGTAATACCTCGAAGGACCAGGCCAGTAACTAACCGCCCCGTGGGATGCACTGCAACTGACAAGCCCTTGCTGCAGATAGCAATATGTACACAAAAGACAGAAAAAGCGGCACGGATCTTGATCCGGGACGAAGACATGGTAGAAGGGAGTCAGCAGGAGGAAAAGTGCATTTGTGCGGGTCGCCGTGCCTTGTCAGCATCAAGCAGGACCTGGGATGATGCGTTGGGCAATGGGAGGGTGGGGCACCTGTTCTGCGCAGAGGGCCCCTTGGGAGGTGAAGTATTGGCCCAACCCACTTGACGGGGATCTAGACACACGGGTGCCTCCTTGGATGTCAAGCTTGCTCAATCCACAGCTCGAAATATGATGTTCTGTCGTCCATCTGGCCAACGAGACAGCAGTCAACATGGACGATGGATTTCGTCGGGGAAGATGGCGAGTTGGGTTTCGTATTCGAGGGCGTCGAGGGCGTCGAGGGTGTGGGTGGATCGGCCGGCTTCCCGCCCAAACGTGCGGGCCGGACACAGCACCGGAGGCTTCAGATTGGATGGGGTCTTTCGGGCGGTGGCGACGACTGCGCCGACTGCGCCGACGGACTTGATGGCTGGAAATGCGTTTCGGGTGCTTTCGATCGTGGGCAAGCCTTTTGATTGATCCTGTCGAGAAATTTGGGCCAGTGTGGTGGAAATGTTCTTAGATTTTGGTGCTGAAATCGGCAGTAGGACCCTGAACGATCGGTAGTTGGTCCCTGCCCGCCGAACAGGGGAGGAGATGTGGTGGCAGGCATACCAGTTGGCCGTGTTATTCTTCATCACACTTGCACATTCCAGAGCAGGGTGACCACAAGTCCAAGGGAAGGAGGTATCAATCAACACGAGGCAGTTCGCACATCCATGGACATCGGAATAAGGTAGGTAGGTGCGTACAAGATCTGCGACTGCCCATATGGTCCTCCCGCATCTCATACAATCCTTCGCCGGAAGGTACTTGGACGGGGTACTGCTGTGGTGAACCAAGCTCTTGCCCACGCGACGCAACGTGCACCATACCGCGGACGGATTCCGTACCGACCCCAGAGCCGTCAAACAATTTTCCCGAGGTACTCCTCAGGACAATACAAACGGCTACCAGCTAATTGACCGGCCCCACGAGTGCGTTGAATTTCTAGCGGATGGAGCTACCCGTGGACATGACGCCTGTGCTCTCCCACCCTTATGCGTGCCGTCTAAGACAGGAATGGGGTCGGCGGCTCCTTTGAATGTGGGAAATTGAAGGCGACTTGTCGGTCCCTCTTGGGGGGAAAGCTGCCAGACAATTGAACTGACATGACTGGCCAGAATTGGTGGGGCGCACAGGTTGTGTGGCAGACAACCTTAGCTCCTTCCTCCCGTAGCTGGAACCCCACGCTCCTGCCGCCACCTACCTGGCGTGGGATAGGTATCAAGGAAGGTAGGAAGAGCGAAAACGGGAGGTACCTAGGTACCTACCTTAGCGCGAAGTTGGGACTTTTCACGGCGGCCAAGATCGGATCGTTCGCGCCGGGCCACTGTTAGAGCGACGTCCCCTTACGAATTGACTGCGTTCGCACCCGGCTCTCTGGGAAGGTGCAGGATGCGGGACTCTGCATCACAATGGGTCGATGGAGTCGAGTCCTTCCCTCCGCTAACGTCCCCGCGACACCACCTTCCCGCATCTTTGAGTTGCACTTTGCAACAAGTCCCCTCTCTTCTGGCGACGACGTCCACAGCCCTTCACGCCGCAACAGGGCCTCATTCGGGACGTCTCTTGAAATTTTCATCGGAAACGTCGTCGTTCGAACTCCAGAAGTCGTTTCCTGCTCGCCTAATGCCAGAATGGCTCCTCCTAGCGACGACGTGGTCCGATCAAATCTTCGTTCCTGATTGGCATCGCAAGCTAACGTCAGGCCGTTCCTCCAGATTTCCACACCTCTTGAGCAGCCTCCTTCCGCTGCCATGGCGCCTAGCCCGGCCCCATCCGAGAGCACAGCCAATCAAGACCAACTGTCCGCATCCCCCGATGAATCATCGACGACCAGCTCCCATCCGGAGGTGGGCAGCGTTCGCGACGATCTCGATGATCTCGACGACCAGCGAGAGTGGGGGATCAAGGGCATCACCGGACACCGAGCCGACCCAGACGACAATACCCGAGTCCAGCTCAAGATCGACTGGGAGCCATCCGATGGTAAGACATGGGGCGAGACTTGGGAACCGGAGGCAACAATACAGCAAGACGCCCCAGACATGTGGGCCGCCTACACAAAGAATCATGACTGCCGAGCTGCACTGGGCGACAACAGCAACAAGTAGTACCTGTTGAAGATTACCAGTCATCATCTCAGCGGCAAAAAGGGCCAAAGGTCCAACATTCGCTTCACAGTCGAATGGGAGGGGTCCGCCGAGACGTCTAGCCTCAGCGAAGGTACAGCCAGAGCCCGCGATCCGGCTCTGGTGCGAGAATACTGGGCTGCACTTGGGGGTCGGGCAGCAGCACTCGGAAGCGTTTGATGCGGCGACGCATTGGCGCAACAGGCAGTCAAGGCTGCTCATGGGGTCAGTCAACATTTTTTGTACTTTCTCCTTGATGTTTTGTGCATAAGAGAACGGGAGCCGACTGCTGTTGCTGTGTCGCAGGCCAACAATCAGATTCGGCGAGGTTGACGTCAAGAGCGTGTCAATTTCAAGTTGCAGCACCATCGGCATCAATAGGACGCCGCACTGAGATGATCATATTCAAATGTCCGATTCGTGACATTGATTGCATGCTAGTGGTCTACCAGTGCCCAGTGGGGATGTCGAATTGTTCCCGTCCACTATTTCCTTTGCACTTTGGACGCTTTGTTGTGCATTTCTTTGGTTGTGGTAGCTTTTCCTGGAACAGTGTGCCATGCCCCGGTGCGCTTTGCTGCCGTTTGTGGGAATGCGTCACTAGACTTACAGCCGCAGCAGTAATGAGATTGACATGCGTTTGTACTGGAAGCTGAAGACCTTCGTATGCTAGCGCGTGAAGCATCCCCGGCTTTGTCCTTGGGTCATGATCATCGGAAGTCATTCGCCGAGTAATTGAGTGTTTGCAGGATGTTGTCAATGTCGCTTCGCTCGCTGATCATCACATGGCTGATTCTCCGGCGGGGTAAGTTCCCCTCCTTGGGATGAACGTGTTTTGCTGGCTGCCATGTTTCCGTCTGAAGACTGTCTGCTTAATTGGTCGGCTTGCTATCAGGACAGATTAGGGCACCGTCGCAGGCTGCAATTTGACAAGACCTTAGTATAATCCTGATATACCGGGTAGTCTGTCTAGAATGTCGGCGAGGGTATGAGTTCGCCTTGCTCCGCCCGGGAACTGGTAGCCGGAGCTGGGGCCAGAACCGGAGCCACGACCGAAGGTCAATGATCTCGAGGCTTCATGGGGAAGAAAGTGACTTTCCCAGCTTCACCGACAACAGACAGCCTCAAATTCAAGATAATCTTCAGATCAACTTGGAAACCCAATCACGACTTCCATTGGGACTTGATAACCCTTGTAATTTGGTAAGGGAGCTGGATTGCTCTTGGTTTGTTTCCAACAATGTTCTGAACACAATTCGTCAGCAACAACAACAAACTATGCATCAAAGTGGGATTGTTTTACTCATTATCAATGTGCGGTACTCAAGTCAATCCCGCACAGTGTAATCACAAGTCCGCATATCATCATGATTTCATAAGCATTCGACATCAAGTCCTGCCATGTTGCGCCCCAAGTTCCGGTTCTCAGCAGCGCACCATAATGCCCCGCGATGTAATGAGTTCAGCTCATCCATGGAATTAACGCACATCTCGGGCGCAGTGGTAATCTCTCTGGGACGGCTGGATCCTTTTTATCTTCATCGCTTCAAGGCTCTTGTTCGCCATGTCCACCACGGCCCGGATGATCCGGTCCACGTCGCCTCGTAGCAGCAGACGTTTCTGATGAGATCCAGGTAGGTTTGTTCGCTAGCGGGCTGCTCTCTGCCCTTGGGGCTTGGATGCCGCTAGCAGTCTGTAGTCCTGCGATGGCCTGTACTTCATGATGTTCCTTCCAAGAAACCCCCTGATCCATAGAGATTCATGTTTAACACCTATGTTGTGCGAGAAGGAACTTCTCGCAGATAGAGCAGTCTGACTTCATGTTTGTTCAACGCGAACCAGGCATTTTTGATCCTTCCATAAACTAATCTAATCTTAGCTCGCAAACTTTCTCATGCAGAATTCAGCATTATAAGGAGGTATTGGGGCTCCTCTTTCAATGCTTCGTTATGCATAAATTGCACGAGAAATTAGGTACTGTCGGGATAGTGCATGACCATTTCCAGACACCGTCGGGATGATCGGACTAAGACATCAACGCGCTTCATATCCAAAACATCAAAAACCCTCGCTATAACCTCCAAATTCCCTTCCAGTGTGGCTCTACCACCAGAGTTCCTAGTTCAGTCCATTACCATGTCCACAGTTCTCTGCCAGAACATGGAAGCTGGCAAGTGCCAAGGCAGCTGGATCTCCTCCATCGCCAACATCTACGCTGCCAAGGATCGCCACACCCAACCACAAGAGAACTCTTATCTCGTGAACAGCCCACCTTTCAACTCAATCTAAGGCCCGTTACATACACCATCTGACGTAAGTCAGTGAGTCAGTTCCTCTTCCGAGCGTCCTCGCTGGGCTGCTTACTTGTCTACCACGGGGTTCCCTCACAGCCCGTGGAGCTATGACCTGAAGATTTGTCATGTTTGTGTCATTTCTTCATTATCGGCTATCGTGGCTCCTTGGTGACGGCGTTTGAGAGTAAGAGATGGGCCCATTGGGTGGACTGTCAAATAGCAACATCAACGCGAATAGAAAGTGTCATCTTGGATACCAGCGTCAATGCCTAGGACGAGTTCCTGATCTTTACAGCTTCTTAGGTAGATCTCACACCTCACGTCCGTTTAGTTGATTGAATTAGCTATCACAAGCGCCACAACCACCGGGATAACGCCCCGATTACTGAAGGGGCCAATGGTCACAACCCCATTCTCTCGCATTCACATTCTCTCTAATTCAGTTTTGGGGTTGAGTAAAGCGTCACAAAGAACTTCCACCTTAGAACAGCCCTATACTTGGAGATGAAAAGTTCAGCCTCGGGAGGCGTGGAGAGGTACACAAGCGCGTAGCGAACGGATTATTCAATCAGAGTACTCAGAGACAGCATCAAGGTCGACCTCCAAAATTATTCCAGCAAAGGTTTAGAGAAGGTTGTTGGTGCTGGAGGTTGATGGTGTTGAATGAAAATCGGTAGATGAATCCGACTGTATTCCTGTGCCGTTTAGTTTGCCACCTTCACTCAGAGTTGCGAGGCTTTGGGGGCATTGGGGACCAGGAACTGTGGGTGACGCGGCAAAGTAAACCCGGCCAAGATACCCGGCCAAGATTGGCTAGAGGCTTTGGTCCTTTAGCAATGCTATTGTTAGTCTGGTTTTGATTGGGTCTGGGTCTGCTGGAGACCAGGGACTTGACTTTTTGTACCTCATAAACGACCTGTTTGCAGGCGAAGCTGATTTAGTTGTAGCTCCGGCCGGGACAAAGGCGTAGAAGAACCAATATGTCAAGTCGCCGGCAAGCAATCAAGCAGACCTTGAGAAGTCTAGAGGCTTGCTGATTTCAATAATCAACTATGCAACGGAGTAAAGTTTTCAGGTTCTATTTATTTGAATCTTCTTCACGACCATTTTTTGCGCGCTCCTGCAAAGGGTGGCATCTGACCAAAGCGTCGGCTTGTTTCCCTCCAAGGTCTGAGAGTGCTGCGGCCTCAGCCCATTCTGCTTGCTTGAGGCACCCTTATGCTGCTGAAACTATCTTCCGACACGCCTAGACAACCTGTCCAGCCTTCTAGGTGCGAGGACCTTGATGCGAAGCGTTCATAAGGGCAAGGCCAGTGCCCTCAAACGCGACAAAGGGGCTGCAGAAGGGGTTACGAGAGCCGTTGAGAACCGACAACAGATTCACTGTATCAGCTGCCTCAAACAGCACAATTTTGAGCGTTCCCAATCAGGCGTCTTCAACAACATTTGCTGTTTCGCTTCGTCTACTTTACCCAACTTGTCTTACAATATCTCGTCGATCAAAAGTCTCCATCCCCCTCCATTCGTCTACATCGTTCATCGGCATGCGCCATCAGCGTCTTCCTTCACCCGTCTCCATCAGTTTCTACGATGTCGCAATCTCAGCTTCATCTTATCAACCCTCCATTCCTTCATGTTCTTTCTTCTATCTTATAAGCAAGTCAAGGCATAGCCGTAATTCCTGTAGCGCAACTAGTGCCCGGAAGCCTCCGTCATCTCTGGACGCATCTATTTCAAAGCGTCAGCTGCCTGGAACCTTTCTAAAATCTGTATACATCGAAATGTTGTCGGCTCTTCTCTACCTCTGGACTCCAACCCACTGGTGACCTGTGTTAGTCAAGGCCATCTCCCTCGTCGAGACGGTCGCCGTGAAAACTTCAGCCGAAGCTGTGGGCAGTTAAAACATAAAGTAGGTTGCACTTTGGTAATATGTGACAATGTCGTACGCTCCAGAGCTGTCCAGCCCTGCGCCAATGACCAAAGCCACGGCTTTCCTCGGCTGACAGCCGGCCGGCGAAAGTAGTCGTAAGCGTGCAGCATGCAGCTCAAGCCAAGGTTCTCCCGGTACTACGTTGATAAGTCTGACCAGTGTCGCTCAATGATCGGTTTGAAGCACATGCCCCGGCTCTCATTATGCTGCCCTAGTAGACACTTGTAGTGTCATCGTATCTCCAGCTAGTGAGAAGGGATGTTGTTATTTTCAACCCATCTTGTTAACGGAATCTTTTCGTTCATACCATCGCTGTACCATATCAATCTGCAGCTCTGTCATCCGTAGCTAATGAGCTCAGGGACGAACTCTAAATCAGCCTGAGACGACCAGGTTGGAAATTCACTTGCTGCTAGGCTTGCGTGTCTCTCCCCATCATAAGTCGTCTGTTTGTGTCAGTGTGATACTGTCTGATGAGGGCAGCAACAATTACACCCACTTGTCTCTTGATCCAGCACTGCGATTCATGTCTCGGTCTTGAACTATGCCAGAGATGGTTTGTCCATCCGTTATCTTGCATACACTATCGTCAAGTCGATCAATATCAAACAGCCCTGAAAACCCTTATCTGCTGCAGTTATAGCAAGCCTTCAGACTAGACTGTTCTCAGTATCATCGTCATAACACCCATATTGAACGTTAACCCCAAGTCTGCAGAAAATGTTCAAACCGATGCAGGCTTTAATATGGTAGTTTTC